GCCTAAATGTCCAGGATATTATAGATAATAAATCTAGATTGCATACAGTATTACTTAAAGTAGTGCACTAAGGCGGAAAAAAACTTTGTTCTTTTTTTATTCTCTCTTGTTGGAATTTTCTTCAAGGTGATGCATTATGCGTGCTTCACTCCAGTTCTCTTTTCTTCAACACTTAAAACCGACGAACAAATTTTAAATCGTGACAAAAACAAATATTTTTACTTATATAGCCAGGTGAATTTCTATTATATGGAAATTATCAGTTTGTGTAGTGTCTAAGTGACATATAGAATAGAAAAATGTCTTATGCTGAGTTATGTGTGCGATAGCGAAGTCTTTAAGTGATGAAGTAGTGGGATAGTAAACATTCCAAGTTCGTGCAATTTCTAAAATTAAAGTGAAATCCATACATTTTACTAACTTTAATGGTAGAATATAATAGAACCATAGAATAGTAGAATACTAGAACAGTAGACCATTTTTAGACATGTAAAACTTCTGAAAAAGAAAGAGAAAACTGAGAGTAGTCCGACAAGGGTTCGAACTTGATGCGTACTTCGTCATGTTAACCATTCGCTAAACCACTGATCTGCGCTGAATCGTTTCTTAAGTATATAAATGAAGAAAAGAAGATGGTCAGGATGAAAGTAGATATTATTCTATACTATTCTAGTATTGTACTAATAGACGCTGCTGCTTAATTACTACTGTATTACCAAATGTGACAGAGCAACATGCTGGTAGTAGTTTACCTCTATTAGAACAATAGAAATAATATGAAAGATGAACATTTCTGAACTTTGGAAATTCGTCCAGCCCTCGATTACTAACATCAGTAAAAGTGACAATTTTTCCACTTAAGTATCATTAACATAAAATTCTGTAAGTAATTAGATATTTTTAAAGTTGTCTCAGCTGATAGATTCATTTTAATAAATAGTTTAGAACACAATAACATTCTTCCTTTAAGACAGATATTGTTTTGAAATTTTCATTTTAGTAATTTCACCACTGACAAAATGGCCTCTTCTTCTTTATCGTCCAGTAGTAAATGTCAATCAAAAAAGCAGTGTAAAATGTCAGGAATTCTGCCATGTAAAGGCTGCCAGCGGAACTTCTGCCAAGGGCATATGAATGAACATCGACAAGAATTAGAAGGTGATTTCCAACGTTTATTAAGTGATCGAGATTTACTTTATCAACAAATATATTCCGAAGCTCCAACTGATCCCCAAGCATTTGATTATATCTCAAAATGGGAAAGAAAAACTATTGAGAAGATAGAAATGATTGCTGATCAAGCTCGACGACAGGTGCAAGATCTGCTTGATGAGAAGAGACTTAAAGTAAAAGAGAAATATGATCAATTCTCGGCTGAACTTCGTCAAAGAAAAGAATCTAGTCACTTTTTTGAACAGGACATTGAAATATTGCGCAAAACACTTGAGCAAGTGAAACGTGATTGTGAACATAAGGCCACATCGACCACGGTGACGGTTAAAGCTCGGACAATCGACTTTGATCACATTTTAGACATAACGCTGGACGCGAAAACAAACAGCCATCAAAATCAGTTATTTATAGGTGGAACACTACTAGATGAAAAACAACATCAATCCAAACTGAATGAATTTTATGGAAACCAAAATCAACAATGGGACTTGATTTACAAATCTACAAGAGATGGCTTTGCCGCCAGCGACTTTCATCGTGAATGCGATGGCAAAGGCCCAACGATGGTAGTTATCCAATCCAAAAACGGCGGCTATCTCTTTGGTGGCTACACAGCTGTCCCATGGAATTCAAATGGCCAAACTGCAGCGGACCCATCAGCATTTATTTTCACTCTTACAAACCCAAACCAGCTTCCAATAACAAAGTTTAATATTAAACCGGCCGACAGCCAATACGCTGTATATCATTATAAACAGAGTGGACCAATATTTGGTCCTCCTCCTCCTTCTGATATTGGGGTGATGGAAGTAGACGGAATGTTGAACAGGAGTTACATTAGGTTTCCTATTAGATACATTGATACACTAGGTCATAAGGCGGACACATTTACTGGAAGTGGTGATTGTGAAGTTAACGAGATTGAAGTGTACAGTTTACAGTAAAACTGAAAAACACAAAATTTTCACAAAAAAATGGAAGTTATCGGAAACTTTGAAACCATATATCATTCGGCTGAGTTTTTGACGCTGACTCTGGGTATGATGCTTTTATTGCATAAAAAGCGGTTTCTAGTGGAGAAAGTTGAGGGGGAGAATTCCGATTTAGCATTAGTGAAATTTCTCAGCAATGGAGAGGAATTTCAATAAAAATGAGTTATACTTTTGTAGTTCGAATAGAGTCCGCTCGAATGGCGCAAGAATGAACATTCTATCTTTTACCAAAAAAGACTAGATAGGTTTTTCCGGTGAGATCTCCGCTTTGGAGATATCCTTGAAGATTAATTTTTCGTGCAATGACATTAGATATGGGAAGCATAAAAGACACATTTTCTAATTCGATTTTCAACGCTGAATTAGAAAAAGGCTGTTTGAGATTTTCAAAATAAAAAGGAGAAAAAGTGTTCAATTTTTTTCGAAACGGGAAAGTTTTTCGGTTTTTAAGACCCTTCCCGTATTTTCAAAATTTCGACGCGCAGACGTGCACTGGGAAGGCGATATTGGTGATCAGCTTCAAACTCTCTATCAAACCATATATAAAGAAGCTAAAAGTAAAATAGTACTTGATTTTTGAATTACAAGACCTTACTTACATTGTAAAAAGTTTGCGTGGCATACAGTGTAGAAATTGAAGACATGTGTCAAAAGTCATTTGGTGCATTTTATATGACAATGCTACCAAAAAAATTTGATCGTATACTTTTAAACGCATTATTTCTACGAAAAATTGATAATGTTAATTGACCTCTTTGTCACTAATCATAACCAGGACATTACCCATGCTGTCAAATCGGTACGACATTTTCTACTAATAGTGATTTCAGAATATAGCGCGATTCTTATAACGTATCATGAAGAAGAAATCCCATCATCAGTGATTTTCATTGAAATTCTGATTAGTAAAGTGCAATGTATTGCACAATCAATTATTTCAGTAGTTGTCAATTTTTATTGCATGCGTAAACGATTTTAAACAAATGAATGAAGTTCTTCTTTCTCTCCGCTCATCTTTACCTTTCTTTTTATCCGTATAGCATATCTATTACTGTTATATCATTCATTTTCTTTTCTTGTTTATTAATAAACTTTATAACAAATAAAAGCTAGCAAAATATTGTACACTACAGAAAAATGTCAGCGAGTTTTCAAGACAAAACACCATGTTAGAAACAAAGGTAACAAAAAAGTAAAACAACAAAAAAACATTGATCACTCTCTCTCTACAGTGCTGGCAAAAATTACAGGGCCGTTGTATTTTTGAAGTTTTTCGATGAAGCCGCTTTTTCGATTATATACTGCACTAACTTACTTTGTTTGGCTGCAACGTGCATGGTTTGTGAGATGTTGCCACAACAGGACAAAATGTGGCTGTTCATTGCTGCAAGATTTCGCAGTAACGAAACATTGTGGAGAGCTCGAGCTGGTCTTAAATTGACCAAAACACATGTGGCTAGAGGCTAATAGAGTTGGAGTTTTGATATTTCTTTTTCAAAATAATGGACAGCGTCAAAGGTCCAAAATTCGAAACAGTCTCATTAACTTCGGTAAAGATGCTTTTCTAATCACAAATCTAGACCGAATATCAAAACTCGGACTCTATTAGCCCCTAGCCACATCTTTCAGCTTCAATTTAAGACTTTCCCGAGCTCTCTCCGATGTTCCGTTACCGAGAACTCTTGAAGCTACGAAATTTTGTCGAAATTTAGCTGTAACCACGTCGTTGATTCCCGCGTAATTTTGACGGAACCTGCCGGATTCGACACTACAACATGACGGAAGTTGTCGGAGTGCAGTAAAATCTGGCAGCAACCATGCCGAATTACGCCGGAAATCTCTTATACCTACACTGATCGCAAAATAAAAACATGAATCTGTCACTATACTCTGAATTCTAAAACATTTAGAATTTCATAATCTCAGAATGTCATTCATATTGCATGCATAAACGATTTTAAACAAACGAATGAAGTTCTTCTTTCTCGTCGCTCATCTTTACCTTTTTTTTATCCGTACAGCATATCTATTACTGTTATATCATTTCTTTTCTTTTCTTGTTTATTAATAAAGTTGATAACAAATAAAAGCTATCAAAACGTTGTACAGTACAGAAAAATGTCAGCGAGTTAAGACAAAACATCATGTTAAAAACAAAAGTAACAAAAACAGTAAAAAGTCTAATTTTGAATTCAAAAGAACATTCTCCAGCAATCGATGATGGGTTTATTATAGTGCTGGTAAAAATTATAGATCCGCTGTATTTTTGAAATTTGTCGATGAAGCTGACAAATCTATGTCAGCAAAGCTATGACAAATCTGACTAGTGATTTGAATAGCCTCTGAAGTTCTTTATCAAAGGCAATATGTGTCAAAATTTCAGAAAAAAGGTTTTGAAGAAAGTTTTCTAGAAAACCGTTCCAGCGGAGCTCGAAGTTCTAGAGAATTTTACTAAAAATATTTTGAATATAGCCAATATAGATTTTTCGAATGCCTGTAACTTTGCAACGAAAGATCGTGGAAAGCTGAGGGACACCTCATTTTGTTCACGTAGAGGTCTTCAAGTTCCACTGGAGCGATTTTGTAGAAAGCTTTCTTCGAAACTTTTTCTCTAGAATTTTGACGCATATTGCATTTTATAAAGAACTTCAAGGGTTGTTCAAATCACTAGTCAGATTTGTCATAGCTGCTCAGCTTCATCGACAAATTTCAAAAATACAGCAGATCTATAATTTTTATCAGTACTATAATAAACCCATCATCGATTGCTGGAGATTGTTCAACTAGATAAAAAAAAAACAGTTTTGAATTGAACTAATCTCCCTTAAAAAAGAGTTAAGCGACCTCTTCATTCTGATCACTTGTACTTTTACTGTTAGTAGACGGTACTTGTCGATCCAGTACATACTTTTCTTCCAAAAAATCATAAATAGCTTGTCGATTCAGTGATTTGGAGAGTTCATGCGGTGTCATAGTAAAATTTGTCGATAGTCCGTTCAATATCTCAGTATCTATGAAATATTTAACCAAGGGTAAATTATTAGTTCTCACCGCTAAATGTATTAAATTATCACCATTTGTTTGATCGATGATATCCACATTGAATTGTCCTATTTCAATTAACATTTTTGTTTTATCAAGGTTATTATTTTTAACCGCTAATTGTAACGGTGTAAATCCAGCGGTGTTTCGTCTATCAAATTTTTCTTTTATGTTAACCAATTGTCTATTCAAATAGTTTAAAAGAAATTCAGTTGTCTCATTTGAAGTGCTTTGTGGCATTAATAAATGAAAAATATTATCGTTTTCATTATCTAATGCATTAATCAGATCAATACGAATGGATAGTAGTGTTTTCAACACATCGATGCGATTTTCTTTAGCTGCTAAAAGAATTGCTGTTTCTCCTCTATCATTCTTTCGTTCAATTATACTATTAGGTAGTGTAGCAACTTCTTTTGCCACTTGTTGTGCTAATAATGTATGACCATTTTCAATTGCGCAATGTAAGAGATTGTCAGGATAAATATTAACTAATTTGCGTGTTCGATGAATCAAAGGTCCCGTGTCATTATCTATTATTAAATTAGCCAAATCATTCTGTAATTTTAATAAAAATGTTTCTACGAAGTTTTCTAAAATAATATTGAAAGAATATTAGAAATGACTCGAACAATTGTATCTAAAACCCACATTAACTATACCCGTCGATGTTTGAGGGACATTTGATTGACGTTGTTTATGTTGTGCAGGAATCTAAATATAATCTAAGTTTAGACTCATGTAAAAAATCAAAAACGGTAATTCATTACATAAGGCAATATCAAAGATGGCTGAACAAGTGACCGAGGTACAGACTCATTAGAGTAGCTGTCTGTTTGATCATAGTGTTCCATATATGCCCGTTTAGCTGGTGATGATGACATTGTTGTTAAAGGAAGATCCGATGATCGACACTTTGAGCATACATTTGCGCGGACTAAAATGAAAATAACAGTTTGTCTGCTGGAAATAATACATTGATTATGAACTATGCATTTTCATCTACACTTCAACATACGGTTATCATTAGTGCTAAACTATAACAGATTATCGATATATGGCCTGTTTGATAAAAACTTACTAATAGGTGTCGGTTGATAAAAATATTGTAGCCGATCAATTTCTGTTTGGTTTTGAGTGAGTACAATATTGACAAAAATTGTGTTATTCGTTATTTCTGTCTTGTACGGTGGTGACTTGAACAATATTATTCTATCCATCACTTCAGGCTTGCTAATTTCGGCACTCCAAATCAATTGGTTATTTTCAATTTGTTCAAAACGAATATTTAATGCTAAAGTAGTCAAATGTATGATTATGTCTAGTCCTTGATAATAAATATGACTTACGAGTTTTTTTGTCAATTTTAACGTTGAGAATTATAATGACATCCTCTCCTCCTTGATACGTCCCACATTTGGGTGCATATTTGTACACTCGGTGTGTGATCTTACCAGCTACAATCAAAATAAAAGATACACATTTTTTTAATTATTGTTTTGTCCAAGAGGCTAATTTCATGGGTAACTTTTGACGGAAAGAAGGTAGAGATGTACAGTTTTCGCCATTCGAAAGCTAAGACTTGAGCGCTTGTTTTTATAAAAATTAGTTTAAAGATCTTCTCCAAGGTAGGATTTTTTGCGGGACTTCAGATAGAGATATATTGAGTTTTTATTACACAGTGTTTTCCACAAAATTGAAGCAAGATCCGTGTTTTTGAATATGACATCGAATTCTCTAAAACATGTAGTGCTCAGCATTTCAGAAGTGTGGAAACCTGAGAGATGAATGAAACAGAAGTTGTTGACGAATTTCAAAGATATATTCTATTTTGTTTGTTTTGTATGATGGTGAAATTCAAAGTGCGAAAAGAATGTTTGTGCACTACCACAGTTTTACAGAAAATCAAATGCGTTTCTTCAAAATTTACCATGGTTCAAGGTTTAACAGTTTCCAAAACAGCTAAAATAGAGTATATTTTTGAAGTTATTTGACAACTTCTGTTTCATTCATCTCTCAGATTTTCACACTTCTGAAATGTTGAGCACTGCAGTTTTTAGAGAATTCAATGTCACATCCAAAAACAAAGATCATGCTTGACTTCCATTTTGTGGAAAACACTATGGTCTGAGAATGTGTTCATACTTTGTTCTTTTTTTCTTTCTTTTTCTTCAATCATTGTTTGTGAATACGCTGATGTAGAATTTAAAATAACTATTTCGTCAACTCCCAATTGAGCAATAGTAAAAACTAATGCTGACTTGTACAATTTATAATTTCGAATTAAATCTTTTGGGCTGTTTGGTGTGCTGACACGCTGAATGTCATCCACATCTAAAGTCGAATATGAGATAATCATTTTCGATGCAAAATATGTTTTGAAACGAAAAAATATACCCTGATCAAATAAACGTAATCTATCACATTGCTTTAAATTTGATTGTAAGGTTTTAATAAGAAGTAATCGACAAAATCTAAAATCAGAAGAAGTTTTGTTTTCACAAAAAACATTCTCATTTAGCTTACCTTTTAACTCCATTAGCATCAATGTCTTCTGAAGTAATGGGAAAATATAATGCATTTGTGTTTGCATCGTGACGCACATCACTTTCGTTTTCTGGTACTTCAAGTCTATATGGATGAACGCACCGAACCGGAACAGTAGGATTTGGTACTGTCACCAAAGCAACGCGGATATGATATTGATCGCTCAGATACATTCGTGGTATTTTTATTGTAGGATATTCATGGGTTCTATCACTACTACGAATATATCTTAGTGCACGATTTTTGTCTTTATCCACGTCTGTCATATATCGTGGATGGTACATTTCATTTGGTTGAGCAATTATTTCAATTTTCGATTGTTCACCGGGCACAGCTATTTTGGATAAATCGGATTCCGGCATATTTATTGACGGAGATACTAAAATCAGTGTATTATCATTTATAGATGAAATTAAATGCTTTTATATCATTGTTATCCTCTAACTCTGTATCGAATATTGTAACTTATATCAGATGCATATGGTACAATGTCTGTAAAGTTTAGAAAAAAGTCTAGGATCTTACCTTGTGGAGCTAGATCGTACGAGTAACGAATTGTGCTTTGTAATGAATTGTAATGGGATTCTACATGTAATTGTGAGTTGATGTCTTGAAGAGAAGATGAACCGCATTGTTTTTCTTTTATTACAAAGTACTACAATCACGCTCATACTTGATATATCTGAAGATGGTATGTCTGTTACCGAAGCAACATCTACTTGTGAAACACCATCCGATTCGAAGGCAAATGGTGGTAAAAAATTCATCGATAGCACTAAACGAGAAAACCAATTTGTATTTCTATTGTCTATATCGTTCATATCACAAATGATATTTGCACTCCGCTTTTTCAGAAGTGAATAATGTAGGAGGGTTTAACTGTAAGCGTCTTTGAATTCGAATCTTAGTAATGTACGTTGTCTAATTCATCGATTCATCGTACTGCTATTCCTTTTAGACATTACGTTTAATGATTATTTTCATTTCTATTTTTATTCGAGATCATTACACACTGGGATCATTAACCATAGTACACTATCGACATTATCATTACATTACTATTACTCCGCAGTACATAATGAACGCTCATTAAATCAAAGTGTTCACATAAAAATATGTACTATTCACCTTTCTTATATAGTACAAAGAATTTACGCAAAAAACTTACCGGTACCTGATATTTATTTGGAATATATTATGAAATATACTATATCTCAAGTTAAAACAAACAACAAGAAGATCTGATTACAATAGCAAATTTTTTATTCATCTTAAATTTGTGTACGCTGCAGCATAAAAACAAATAGTAACAGGAGAGATAAAGGAAAAAATTTCCTTTTTATTTTTACATCTGGGAAATTGTCGATGCGAAAAAACCCACAATGGGTATTTGGAGCTCCACATTTTACCTATTTCGACAAATTAGTTAACGAAACAAATCTAATTTGATCTCAAGTGTGAAACAATTGTTCAATCAGTACTTTGACCATGAAAGGTGCAGATGACAACTCAATGTTGTCTTTTCGCTAATAAAATTAAGTAAACGTCAGTGAACGATCATCTTCATTCAACTGATAAATAAACAGGTGTTCATAATATGAATTCTCGTATTTACATTCCTTTACCTATACATGTCTGAAAATTTCTGTACAACCTTCCTTAATATTTCAGGTATAGTTTTTAATCACGTTTGCCCAAAGAAAAATGAATAAAGATTCTTTTCATACATGCGTCTGTAATAAAAAAAAGCCCCATAGGATTCTAAGCTATATAGATCAAAGTTAATCACACCTAAAATTAAATTTCTGCTCACAAATCTGAGAATTAACTTTTTATCTCTTCGAGGTAAACGATTTATATTTATTTAGTGAACAAGTATGTAAAACAAAACTCTTACGTTGTGACGCGCTAACTATTTCATTGGCAGATTCGGGAATTGGTGTCGCTAAATTGTCGAATAATTCATCTAAACATACGATAAAGTTATTAAAAATAAAAGAAATGAGTAGATCTTTTCTATACGTACCGTTTGACATTGTTCTTCTTCAGTATGAGTTAATAAATATAAACTGATATAGCAATAATCTGAAATAAAACTTTTTATATTTTCAGTTATTCATAGTAAGAAAGAAAAATTATTATTTAAATATGTTCGTAGATGAGAAAAACCCTCACGAAAAATATTCCATGGTTAAAGCAAACATATATTGGACATTTCCCAAGTTTACTCTAAAAGGGTAATTAAATCGGTGATGTTGAAAACTATAGAAACAAAGTAATCATACAAATGAAACAGCCTTCATTGAAATGTCTCTGAGAAAAATTTAGATGAGAACAAAAATTAGATAAATTTGATACTGTTACTATCAAGCGTACTCCCTAAGTCCTCAGTATTACGTAGTTATTTGAGTCAGCCCTGAAAACATTGATAAGAATATTCAGTTCTGAATCCGTAAGAAGCAAAAGATAAGAAAATACGTTTTGTAGAAAGTAATTTTCAGTTTTTTCAGAGCTGTTTTTTATCCTGATTGAGACCTGATAAAAATGCATAGTTGATTCAGCTTTTCAGACCGGGTGATTGTCGACTGTTCCAGACAAGAAACATTACTAAAGTGTAGAAGATCTTCATGTATTAGTGAACTTATTAGCACTAACATACAACTTATTAGCACTTGAATACTTTTATTTCAAAATAAAATACATCACTGGAAAAGTTATGGCACCAGTTACATTATATCAGCCGTTTTTGAAAAATGTTGATATAAGCTTTATTCTGTCAGAATACAAGCGGAAAAATATTCCATTATAGTATTCTAAACTAAAACTATCGAAAAATACAAAATCAATTTTGTACGAATAGAGATTCGAACACATGAGGAACCAACAGTTTTTATTCGAAACTTGAAGAAAAGAAAAATTATTTAGAGACCTGGCTGTTGACTAGAGTCTTTTGCCAGAAAATCAAAAACACCTAAGTACATGAACTAGAGTTAGCCTATTAATTACATTAAAAGAGAGTGTAGATTTCCTGTCGTAATATTGTCCTCATATCCTTCTGCTCGAAGGATTGCTCGTCCAGTTAGTGACTTACAATAGTCTTTTAGTTTTTGTATTTTGCTTACGTTATGAATGTAATAAGTAGATGTGTAGCGCGGCAGTCCCAGTGCTGCTCTAAGGCTCTTGTTTTGCAGGATTTGCAGCTTAGGCCATATTTCTTCGCCTGCTTTTAAAAATGCTGGTGCACCAGATGTTAAAACAGATCGGATGAGAGACTTGAAAAGATTGAGCATTAACACATGAACTTAGCTTTGCAGAAACTGCAAAACTAAATTCACTGTTCTGTGTCTATATTCTGTACAACCATTGAAGTTGTGCAATCGACTCGATGTTATCAGTAGTATTTTTTTTTTGGTATGTTTTTTGTGTTCTGTTTTGATCAGCAGTTCCTTGTGAACCGTACCATCGAAACAACATGAAAAACTTTAAGGCATACTATTTTAACTATTAATCTATGACATGTTTAGTGACTTTCTAGAGATCTTTTTCACTGAGAATGCAAAAATGCTCAATAATCTGTTAAAGATACCATACAAAAGTTTTGTTTTCTGCTGGAGTTGTACATGAGACTATAATCCATAAACTAAGATATTATTCAACTCTCCATGAGTCGGAAAAGACGGTCACTGATCAGAAAGTATTATAAATATGCAGTTTTTGTCTAATTTTGCTGCCAAAAGTCGAAAACTTCTTCATTTTTTTCCTGTGCAACTCTGTGAACTTTTCCTTTGTAAATTTTGTTGTTTTTTATTAAAGTAAATTCTAAACGTTTCGATATGTTAACACGTCTTCACCTATAAAAAATAGAGCACAGAATAATATACGATACATTATTATGAAGAGATTCTTGGGTGTACATATCGTTTGATTGGAAATTAAATAACACGCATAAAAAGGATGTATGCGTCTCTGAACCACCGATACTACGATCCATTCCATATTAAGTGGCATGTGTTATTCAAGTAACCTTTAAAAGAAAGGAGATAGAGGCATCCGGTTTTCACCATTCGCTATCCAAGACCGGAACACATGGTTCTATGGAAATATATTTATGAAACTCTTCGCGAAGGTTGGTTTTTGATAAGATCCTTGGAGAATCAGATTAGTACTCCGAAAGTTACCATACAAATATTTTCTTTTCCTTATGCATCGATAGTTCGAAGTGACTTCTTCAAACCAAGAATTAGACAATCTCTTAATTTTTCGTAGTTCAGACCAGAGCCCTGCAGGTTGATCCTAACCTAACCTAACCTATAGGTTAGGTTAGGATTAGGTTAGGATTAGGTTGCAAAAGTTATAGGCTAGGTTAGGTTATAGGTTGTTCTATTTTTTTTTTCAATGGTTAGGTTAGGATTAGGTTGTGAAATTTTTTATAGGTTAGGTTATAGGTTGCCAAATATTGGCAACCTGCAGGGCTCTGGTTCAGACGTGTCACCGAATTTTGATGGTACAACAGAACCTACTCTACAAAATAGTATATTCAAAAATATCATCTTTAGATAAAAAGAAGTATGACTAGTTATTAACTGAGCAATTAACTAACTAATAAAATGATCATATTTTTTGTATTATCGAAACTTTTTATAACTGATACTGGAGAAAATATAAACGTTGTTGAAACCACATCTCGTTGCATTTTGTTAACACTAGATATGCAGAGGTTGCATATCCCTGAATATTTCTGGTTTGAAAAGTACTGGTTTCTTTCTGAGTTATCTTAAACATGTAACCAAGTGACTTAAAAGAATTAGCACTGTTGAAATTAAAACAAGTAAACGTTTTGAAGATCTACACACTGTCCGAAAACCACAAACCCTATTAAGCATGTTTGTGTATCTTGAGCTAAAGTACGATAAGACTGTAAGCTTTTCAGCTTCAGCTCAACGAAAACAATGAATGTAGTGTGTTTTTGTTTTATTCTAAACCGTATATTTTTTGTGAATCTTCCAGTGAGACAAATGATTTATGTTATTTTGTTCGCCATTAAAAAAGTCCTAGAGCTGACCTGTTGTGCTCTTTGTTCTCAAAGTAAACTCAGCTGACAAGATTTTACTCTTTCGAAAAATTACACTTTTTTTACTTTAAACCATATTTTGGTTATAAAGCTTATTTGGTTTTCTACTTAGTATTGCGACCCTCTTTCAGGAAACGAAGGAAGGAAGAATACTTTGCGATATAGGGTACTATCCGGAGACAGTTTCGTAAGCCCGATATCTTCCCTACAATTAATACTAGCTGTAGCTCTGGACAGAAGGCCAGCCTGACTCAGAGTTCTATCGCTCAATCGCTTGAGCTCCTCGTACAAACTGACTAACCACGTACTAGCTACGAGGGCTGGTGTATGCCACTACAGGAAAGAGATGTTAACAAACTTTCAATGTTGCTTTAAATCGGTTGTAAAAATTTGCACGTTCCTCTTAGTTTGTAAACATCTTGAACACCGTTCTTTAGTACAGGTGTGAGTTACGAAGTAATTTAGCATCAAAAACTAACCCCACTTATACGTATCAATCACTAACCTATCCGGCTAGAAAATAAAAAAAGTTATTATGTTTCAAAAAACAATATTAAATACAAACCAAATGACAACCGCAATTATGAGTAAAAGTATCAGAAAAGTTTCCAAAAACCGAAGAAAATACCATCTGTCTCACTCTTGTTTATAGCATTTAAGGTGTCATCATAGTGGGAATTTCTTAAATTCGTT